GCCCCGTCTGTGCACGACGTAACTGAGGCACACACATGCCCCCGGCTCCACTGAGGGTGCTTCCCGGGGAGGGGGAGGGGGAGGGTGCTGGGTTGTGGGGGGCGGGGGCTGTATGGAGTGAGGAGCATGTGGTCCCTTCTCCGTGGCTCCTGGTCCAGGGGAGGACCAGTGCGAGGCGGACCTGAGACCGGGTGCCTGGTGTGGGGGAGCACTGGGGAGGGCCACAGGGAGGAGGGCGGCGGCCAGCGGCAGGGTCCTGTCTGCTGACTCGGGGGACGTCGGTGTCCCTTTCTGCGTCTCCTCCTAAAAGTCGGACTTTGATCTGGATGAGGGAATGCCTCTCCCCCTGCCCCGACTCGTAGGAGTGCGTCGTCATCTTGGGGTCACTTCCTCTAAAATCAGAAAACAGATTTCCCCGAGGGTCGGCTCCGGCGAGCAGTGGTTCGCACGGGGGGCTGGTCTGTCCCTGTCCCGGTGGGCGGCCAGGCCGCATGGGCCGCCAGCCTGGGTCTGTCACGGGGGCTGAGGCCGACGCCGTCATGGGGCCACCCCTGACCCAGGTGTCCAGGTCTCGCCTGTCGCCTGTGGCCTGGAGAGGACGCGAGTGAACACAGCGCCCAGCCGGGCTGTGGGGCGTGGGACAAGCAGCCGGTCACCGTCCTGGTCCCTGAAGGACAGGAGGGCTGACCCCCAGGCCCTGTCCCATCCGGCCCTGGCCCAGGAGCCAGCTCCTCGGAGCGCAGCCTGGAGCCCTGTCCGGGGCCCCTCGAGGCAGGAGCTCTGTGCTGGGAGGCGGTGCTGCTGGCCCAGGGCCCCTCGCGCCCCTGCCGCCCTGTGCTCAGGGTCTGGCAGCCCAGGGACGGCGGCTCCCTCAGGCTGTGGGGACGGTGCCAGGGGAGAGCCGGCGCCAGCCGGGGGCACGAGGCCGGAGGAGGCGGGCAGCCCGGGGCGGCCACGGAAGCCGCGCAGTAGGAGGTTTCCTGGGAGCGACATTGTGTCTGTGACTGTGTCCGGAGCGTGGGCGGGCAGGGCGGTCCTGGCACCCAGACTGGCCTGGCTATGCGAGGCTCCCGCCGCCCCTCCCCCCGCCCGGCCGCTGCAGCTGCCCTCGCCTGCCAGTGGGGACAGCTGGTTGAGGGGCCAGGGCCTGCCCTGGCTGCGGTGGGTGAGGGGGGCAGCTGGAAGCAGAGGGCGAGGCCCAGGCCCAGGGCGTGGGGGGCTGGGGGCTGGTTGGCCCGTGGCCCCGGGTGGTCTCCCAGGCGGTTCCTCTTTCCTCTGGCCCCCTCCGGCCGAGGCAGCTTGGGACCCTGTGTGCTGAGCAGACACGGGCTGCCCACACGGTGCAGGCAGCACAGTGAGGTTGCAAGTCGGGGTGGTGGGCTGGGGTCCCCCTGAGCTCCCCCCTCAGGGCCCGAGGCTGCTCATTGCCTTCCTTTGCCCCACCGTCCCTTCCAGCTGCCCCGCTGTGGCCAGTTGCATTGTGGGCCCGTGGCTGGGCAGGTCCCAAGTGTTGCCCACTGTCACGCCCTCCAGCTGGCCCTGCCTCTCCTTGGCCTCTGCTGTCCCTCCCGTCAGACCCGCGGGGCGCCTCCTTCCTGCCCCTGCTCAGATCCTGCGACCCCTCCGGGAGCTGCCGGAGGCCCCCACCCAGTCTGGGCTCCCGCTGCACCCCAGGTCCCTCCAGCTCATGTCCGAGGCCTGTGTGTCCAGCTGGCCACGTTGCACGCAGTGCTGGTGTGCGGGGCACCTGTGGAACGGCCCGACCCTGTGGCTCTGCGCCTGCCTGGGGTCCGTCTCCAGGGCGCCCTCCAGAGAGCCGAGGGTGGCGCTGTGTCTCCACCAGGGTCTTGTCCGCTGGGGAGACGCCCGCAGGGCCACCTGCTTCCAGACTGGTCTTCCCAGGTGATTTCGCTCATTGATCACAAAGGAGCTTGAGTAGTTTAAAGCCACACGCACACGCTGTGGAGAGGGGTGGGTTCTGCCTGGTTAGTCCCTCTTCGCCTCCCCTCCCTGGAGTCCGCACTCCTGGTCCCGCCCCACCGCCTCCGGGGAGCCGCCCCAGCTCGGCAGTCCCAGCACCACACGCTGGTTATGCCCGCACGTGTGCCGCGCCAGCACGGCCAGGGGTGAGCCTGAGGGGGCGGGGGGGCGGTGAAGGATTAGAAAAGACGGACAAGAGAATGCGCTGGGTCTGGGTGGGACGCTGCCCCCTCGGATGGAGAGACAGCGCCAGCGCCCACAGCCGTGTCGTTATTTTATAGCAGATCCACGAGGCAAAGCGAGGGCGTGGTCAAGATGGTTGCAATGTTCTCGCGGGTTTCGATCCTACTCAACCACATGCACCTGAACTCTATCAAGCCCACACCACTCAGCACGTGGGGCCACGTGTTCGGACCAGAAGGTCAAGCTCACAACCATGGCTGTTGGCTATCATTGTGCTGGGACTTGTACGTGGCTTTGCCACGAGAGGACCGTGCCCTCCCTTCAGTCCCAGGCTTGAACCTGTCCACACACCTCACCTGCACACACACACACACACACACACACACCTCACACACCTCACCTGCACACACACAAACACACGCTCCTCACCCCCCACCTCGCACGCACGCACGCAGATACCTCACCCACACATACCTCACTTGCGCACACACCCCTCACACACACACGCCTCGCACACACCTCACATGTATACACATGCACATACCTTACACGCAGACGCCTCACACATATACACGTGCATATACCTCACATGCACACACGGGTGCGTGCCCACGCCCACCGGCACCCCAGCAGTGTCAGGTGGCGTCCCTCGCTCACAGCCCCGCACACTCGGGACTCAGTGTGGAGCTAATCACAGGTCTGTCCCTCCACGGCGCACACTAGTGGCGCTCACAGCGTGTGTCCCTGGAGTTCGTCATGTTGTCTGTGCTTTTCAGCCC